ATAGGTTGTTTGCACATGACGTCACTGATGATTTGTGAAATGCAGCTGGAGGGCAAGAAGTGATTTTTCTCCATAGGAATCACTAGCAGAAACTCAAAATGCCTGTGTTTTGCGTTGTTTATGGATGCCACAATGAGCTTTTATCGTGTACGAAAATGTGTTGTTCATAAGTGGGGAAAAGTCAAGAAATTGGTTGAAAAACACAGGAAAAAGTGGCTTGTAAACCTGCGTCTGTGGTCGGGAGGAGCGGAGCCGGATAATGCTCGTGTGTGCAAATGGCTAATATAAGATATAATAATATATTAAGATATTAATAAAGATATAAATAGTTTGGGCTGCCACCTCTCATGCATTCAGAATTCACTCAGTGCTAAACGCCACACGTAGACACGATGTAAATAAGATATTATTTGCCATTCAGAAAGCTTCACTGATTATAGAGGAACATCGTGAGATTGCGATAAATTGAAGTGAGTGACAGCTTTTTAGTGATTATATGGAAGCGCTATTTGCTCGCTTTCTAGGTTATAATCAATTCAGAATTTGAATAAAAGTTTTGTTTTACGTGCTGCTAGCAGGACCTACAGCCAAAAAAAGCAGAACGGATGAGATGGAGGAAAGTCCGTACTGTACTTTTTTTGGCATGAGGCATTTTTTAATATAGCGCTTTCATCGTATTGCTGTACACCCAACGCGCTTTACAATCATACAAAGGTATTTATAATCACAACATATGTTGGACGTGATCCATATGTTATGAAGAGGAGCGATTTTTAAACTAAATTTAAATACTTGCCTGCCATTGAGGCGGTGGATATAGGCTAAGCAACTAACCCTGATTGTAAACAAGCGATTTCAAAAAAAGAAAATCCCGTATTTATATGAGGGATGTGGAATATGTCACTCCTGAAACTTTGCTGCATGTAAGTTACTGTTATTGAAATTCTGAATCGATTATAGCCTAGAAAGCGAGCAAATATCGCTTTTATTATAACGCTAATCACTAAAAAAGCTGTCACTCACTTCAATTTACCGCAATCTCACGATTCCGTGATATGAAGCTCTCAGAACTGCCAATAATATATTATTTACATCCTGTCTCTGTGTGGCTTTAGCATTCAGTGAATTCTGACTGTCACCATGTATCTATTTATATATTTCTTTATAAATATCTTAATATATTATTATATCTTATATTAATCATTTGCACACACGAGCATTATCCGGCTCCGCTCCTCCCGACCACAGACGCAGGTTTACAAGCCA